GTTTCAAAGAAATCTTTTCCAGGACGTTGATCATATCCTTTAGCAACCAGGTGGGCTTTGAACTGATCAATGGAACTGTCAAGCTTGCGTTTGAGGCGAAACACCCAATAACGTGTTTGTTGGGTGGCGGGGAGTGAGAACGCAAGTGCCATTGCACATTAATGCATTGATTTCATCAGACATGGCAGAACGCCAACGAGGATCAGTGTTGGCCTAAGTGAAGGAGGAGGGTTCACATGGAGAGACTGAGAGCGGATGCTGGGAACTAGCATGCACATAGTGACTGTCGAGTCGCTTCTGATTAGGCTTGGAGATGCCAGACTTTGATTGAGTGATCATGGGATGGTGAGACACCGGTACCGGCAGTACATCAGAGACAGTAGTAACTGGTGGTGCTGGTGCAGGTGGAGGAGAAGGAAGCACAGCGACTGTGGGAGAATGAGAGCACCACAGTGGTTGCAAAGCAATCGGAACAACCGATGGTGCACCAATAGCAAGAGAAACAGGAGATGCCGCCAGCAAACGGAAAGGGGGCTTCGTTGAAGAGAACATCACGAGAGATATAGACACGTCCAGCAAGACTTGGGAACAGTAGCCAAGAAATACACACGGCGTAGATTGATAATCGAGCTTGTGCTTTGCATATAGATGAAGGTGAGGGAAGCGTTCACAGCCAAAGACTTTGAGCATGGTGTAATCTGGGTGCTTAGCATAGAGAACTTCAAGAGGACAGTGCCAGTTGAGAACTTTAGTGGGAGTTCTATTAATAAGAAACACCACTCTAGTGAAGGCTTCCCAACCAATAAGACTTGGGAACAGATGCATGAGTGAGAATAGCAAGCCCGCGTTCGATTATATGACGATGGCGGCATTCAATAAGGCCATTTTGGGCTTGCATGTGAGGGCAGCTAAACTGTTGACAAATGCCAATTTGTTTGAGGTAAGGGGAAAAACATTTCAGTTCAGCAGCACAGTCCGATTGTAGCATGACAATTTTAGAGTTAAGTTGGCGTTCAGTACATTTTTGAAATTCAATGAAGATGGACAAAGCATCAGACTTGCGATGAAGGGGAAAGATGCATAAATATCAACTAAAACAATCAATGAAAGAAATAAAATAATGAAAACCATGGATAGAAGATACAGGGGAAGGTCCCTAAATATCTGTAGCAATTAATTCTAACAGCTGAGAGCAAGTATGAAAATGAGAAATAAATGGAAGGCGATGACTCTTCCCAAGGAGGCAAAGATGAACAAAACCCTGGGGTTTTATTGATTTGTTGGAGATAGAAAGACATGGTGGTGTTATTTTTCTGAAGAGATCCGAGTTGATTGCACAGATCAATAGCTCAAGCTTGACTAGCACTAGGGTTGGAGAGAACTCGGATCAAATCCCGTTGCCACCAGGGTTGGGGAGTGTTTAGGGGATGGGTATACCTTTCCCTTTGTTTAGCCCCATCAAGACAAAATAGAAAAAAAGTTACAATCACCTGATGGGTGGGTTTTCGGCTTTGTCATTCAACGTTTATAGAATCAGACCAGGCATCAACTCAAAAAGGAAAGGTCCACGGGTTTGATGTTCAATTGGGGTCAATATATTAAGATTTAATGCTAAAAATGGCATTTTTTTGACAAAAATAGTGGGACAAGGTGTCTTCAACTCCTTGGGAATACATAAAATTAAAAAAAAGAAAGAAAAAGATTATCCCAATCAAATATTTGAGTGCAATGTTATGGCCTCTACATTCATGTGTTAAAATAATTTAAAAAAACTGACTGATTTTCTAAAACCAGGACTGGTCACTGGTTTTCTGGTTTGACTGACCAGGTTGGCAATTTTTGCCAATTTTTTATCCAATCCGGTTTTTGGGGTATGATTGAACCACTTAGAAGCCCGGATCATTGTTCAATGGGTTCAACTGATCGATCTGGTCTAGTTTTCTAAACACGGGTAAAAAGCGATTAAGCCAATATTTGAAACCAATGCCGTTTTCTTGAAAAATGATGTGATATTAGTGTCACATTTGAAATCCGTTTTTTCACGTTTACTATTTGGTTATGTGTTTTTCAAAAAACGTTTTATTAGACCACGGTACCAGAAAACATCCTCTGTTGTGTGTGTGTGTTTTATTTTTACTTGCCAGCTATAGTATTATGTTGATATGACGTTGAAAAATGACGATATAGCAGCAACCATACGTTTAATTGTCTAAAAAAAAGAAAAAAACGTTTTCCCAAAAAACACCAGCACCATCTTCCCAAAACCGACATTAGTTCCTAACACGGCCGTTCGAATGTTTTTCGAGCCAATTTTCTTGAATTTATTGAGAAGAAAAAAAATCCAAAACAAGCAACTGAGGCGGATGATCTGGGTGTCTTTAAATGATCTACCATTCTACCCAGAAAAGATTAAAACTCAAATGATCTACCTACAAGTGAAAATTTGGTAGAGTTGTCGATGCCATAGAACTATAGAAGCAACGAAAAGCCTGAAGAGATTGAATTCTTTTTTTTTTTTTTTGTAGAGATGAAGAAATAAAATTGGTGGAGAGAGAAAGAGAGACCAGAGGTAAGGAGGAGAAATAAAGCTACCGGGAGATACTGGATAGGAAAGGAGACAGGTTTAAGCAAAGAGAAGCCGATAGGGTTGGCGCGAAGAGAGAATGAGAAAGGGGGTTGGAATTATCTGTCTTCGCGACCATAAGCCCAAATTAGATGCTAGTACCAGCTATAAATGGATTAGGGGTTGCTGAATGCTGGGTTAAGTTACGATAGCAACCAGCAAATTGAAAAACCAGATTCTTCGGCGGGTTCAAACCCTAAAACGCCGTCTTTGGCTCCTGTTGCAACTTGCAACCAAGGCCCCGTTTGCTTCTCACCTAAAATGGGTGGAAATTATTTCAGGCCAAAATATTTTTGTAAACTTTTTTGCTATTTTTACTGCGAAAAAAACGTTTTGGTATAAATCCATCTGTGTCTGAGACTGGTGAAGAAGAAGACGGAGAAGAGTTGAACTTACCCAATAGCTTCGTGACCGAGTATTCTTGGAAATACTGCTGGTGGATCCTATAATAAGAGAAAAGGGACTAATAATTGGAAAAAAAAAACTAAAACTAAAAAATTAGATCAATTTTAAGAAGAAAATTGTTAAGAATTTACTTTCATTTTCCAGTAGGTGATATCGCTCTGGCAAAGAGAGGTGCAGATGATCTTAATCCGAACTTCATGAGCTTTTGGCGGAGCCACCACCACCTCCTCTATGGTTAGAGGAACCCCTGCCTCTCTAGCAATCGCAGCTGCATATTTTTTTTTACAGACTTCAGTATAACAAGATCTCCCAAAACAATGCAGGCTAAATGCAGAGACAGAACTATGACTTTTGGAGTACCTCTGCATCGAATGGGCCTTCCTCTAGTTCCAGTTTTAGGTAGCTGCTCCTCCTCCATACCCTCTCTCTCTCTCTCTCTCTCAGTACCCGAAGGAAGAAGGGGCAGAAGCATAGAATGAGGCTGAGTTTAGATTTAAGATATACACGAGTCTGAAATCTGAATCCTTCATTTATCCGGACAGTACTGGACCAATCAAGATGAGTCCGACATTACTAGTACCGTAGACGATGACCGGCCATATAAATGCTGTAACTGTCATACGTGGCATCCATGCCTGTAAAATGTTAAACATGAATATCACGCATTGATGATCCTTCGAATTTGGAAGAGTTTCAGCATTCGTTAATCCTAAGCAAATCGATAGTTCGATGATACAGAGACGAAAAGTACTTTTCAGGGTTCGCATCTAAGTTCTTTCCAGCAACTACCTATTGGCTCGAAATTTTAGATTTTTCTTCTTTGATTTCTGAGTTCAATAACAAAAGGTACGGTGTTTTCCATTATTCATCTTCTTTTACATTTTCTCTCTCTTTTTCTTAGTTTTTAGGTTTTAGTTTTTAGTCTTCTTGTTTTAATTAGTGGTTTATGCTTCTTGATCCTAAGCTCTTTTGATGCCTTCCTTTTTGTTTTTCATTTTTTTTTCTGTGCCCTATGATATCTTTTCATTTTTGGTTCTTAGGCTGGTTTTATAATCATGGATTTCTGAATATGCATTCAAAAAGAGCAGGTTGACAAATGACAATCCTTCTGATCTTTCGTAGGGCATATTAATGGCGTTTAAGGTCATCTTTAAGGAGGCTATTGGAGCTTCTTGGATTGAAGCCAAATGGTTAGTTGGTTAATTGCCTTGGATAAGAGCTACTAATGTTGTGGCGTATTGAGCATTTCTGATGAACACGGACTGTACAGGTCAAAACAGTTTGATTCGTTGTTTAGTCCTAGTTGGTTTTTTTTTTTTTTTTCTCCTTTTGGCTATGTTTGGTTTGAAGGAAAAGGTAGGGAAAGGAAGGGAAAGGTAGGGAAATTAATACAAGGTTTGTAAAAGTTTTCCTATCTTTCCCTTCTTTTCCATACTTTTTCCTTCAAATCAAACACAGCCTTTAGGTGGTCCAATTACTTTAGAAGATACCAAATTGTTGTTCAGTTTATACGTATTCTATATGAACTCTTTCAGCGACCAATAGGAGATAGGACATCTCCTGCATTACACTTTCCTGCAATAAAACTTGGTGAATATTTGGATTTAGGAATTCTATGCGTCACATTGTTGACGTACTCCACATCTCAACAGAGTAGCATGGTTTAACTTTTCAAAGGTTAACATAACTAACAAAAGAGATTACAAGGCCTAATTGGAACTTTAATCTTAGAAGATATCTTTGAAGGCCCTTAAGGATGCCTTTTTTGTCTTTGGATATTCCTGATAATTGTTTATCGTCCCCTACCTCCTGTGGCCTGTTCTCAACTAAGCCATTCTTCCACTCTTATCACTACTAACCCCATATCTACTTTTTTTTTTTTTCTCAGAGAAAGAGCTTTGGTTTTGTACTGTTTCACTTAGAGTTTGCTTCTTTCTCTGGAAATCTATTTGTGAAAGGACTAAGAATTTATCCTACTACACACTAAAGGCCTCACTCTATCTTCCCACAGTTTTGCACATTATACCTCAAGGAAAGGGACTAAGCCACTCATCTCTTCCAGTGTGTAGTTATTGGGTGACATGTTAAGACAATAGAAGGGACATGGGTTGAGATCAAGGGGCAATCAGTATTGGAACTGGGAAGGTGATTAGCCATGTGGTCTTTTTGGGCATATGGAAAGAAAGGAACATGCAGGTCTTTCAATGTCATCCTTTGAGGCCTTGAGAGCCCGGGTTTTATTTCTCCCCAGTTCATGGATGTTGGCCACTGATGAACTAAATGGAGTCTTAGCAGATGGCATGAAACTAAGTCTCACACAAACCCTTCTCTTGGCACCTGGGATCCCTTCCAGATATCAGGACCTTCCCCCTCCCAATTTCAAGGAGATTCTGCTACTGTTTGATAGTAGTTCATTTTGAAACCTGGGTTGTGTAGGTAGGGCTGATGGTAGCATCTTTTGGGCTTTTCGCAGTGCTTTCGGCTACATGCATTCCTTGTAAGCAGAAGTGAGTGTTCTTCTTGTGGGGTTCAAATTGCAAAGTTGGGGTTGACTCTTTCTTGTGCTTTTGAATGGGACTGAGTAAAAGTCACTAGATGGATTGAGTCGACAGGAAGCAGCTCTTGGTATCTAGCCAACTTCTCAAAAGAAATAAGGGAGATATTAGCAGTAAAAAGGGTGCATATTTGATGGAAACTTTAGAGCTGAATTTTATGGCTGTGTTCTTGTAAAGGCTGGGATTGATATATAGAAAAGGGAAAAAAGGGGAAAATCAGATTATAGTTTTGATATTCAACCTAAGTGTTTTTGCTTTCAGAATTAAATATGTTCTGCGAATTTAGCTTTAGCTTGTAATGGTAATGTTCTTGGCTTGTGAATAATTGTACCTCTTCTGTGCAGTTTTTCTTGTTAAGATTTGTTGTGTTCTTAAATTCTGTTTGCTTCAGTAGAATGGCGAGTGAAAATCCTGTTGAAGGTTCCAGTATGAATGAAGTTATTGATGAAGGTTCAGGTTCAACTGTTGAACTCAATTATCAAGACTCTGGACTCACAGATAACACATTTCATGTGGACAAGAATGTAATGTTTCCCTAACCTTATTTGCCTATATTTTTTCATAATTTCAGATTAAGGCAATGATTACTACATTATCTATTTTGCAATCGCACTGCTCAATGTATAGAACTACAGAATGTTCATATCTAAATGTAGAACTCCTTGTAAACTTCATATACCGCCCATGTAATTACCTATCAAAAGATGTATTTAACATGCATACACGCTCTTGAACTTTTTTCAGTTTTATGGCTTTGTCATATACATAAACAAAGTTACAAAATGAGGCTGGATGATGACCATTTCATATCGTTGGCCTTGATCTTGGGCATTTTCAGGTACTAGTTTCATTATTCAAGGAGAAAGTAGCAAATGCAATTGATGTTCCAGTTGAGAATTAATGACTAATTTTTTAAGGAAAGGTTTTCGTTATTTAGAAGAGAAGAAGAAAGGAAGAGAGAAGAGAAAGGAGAGAAAAGAGATTGAGAGCCAAAAGTCAAGCTGGCGGCGCTAGCTTTTTGTATTTATACTAGGGTGACATAAAGCAAAATAAAAGAGGGAGAAAGTACAATAGTACCCCTATGGTACTAAACTTAAAATATTAATAGACTTTTAACACTCCCCCCTCAAGTTGGGACATAGATGTCAATCATGTCCAACTTGTCACATAAATAATGATGCTGCAAGTGATGTAACCCTTATGTGAAGATGTCTGTAAGTTGGTCTTCAGAACTGACATAGGGGGTACACACTTCCCCTTTGACAACCTTTTCTCTGATAAAATGTTTGTACTTTAATGCGTTTAGTTCTATCATGCAGCATTGGATTAGCAGCAATGTTTATGGCTGCTTTGTTATCATAGTATAGGATCATAGGTCCATCAACTGTAAATCTCAACTCACTCAACAAATTTTTTAGCCACATAATTTCAGCCACTTCATGAGACATTACCCTATATTTAGCTTCCGCACTAAACCTAGCCACCACATTCTGCTTTTTGCTTCTCCAGTTAACTAGGTTCCCTCCCACAAAGGTACAATAGACGGCTAGACGCTGGTGGACTTCCTATCACTTTGGGATCCTGCCCAATTTGCATCGGTATACACTTCAACTTTCAAGTGCTCGTGCTTTTGGAACAATAAACCTGCACCTGGAAACTTCTTAAGATATCTGAGAACTCTTTCAACTACTTCAAGGTGGGTGATCTTAGGGGCACGCATGAATTGGCTAAGAACTCTCACTACATAAGCAATGTCTAGTCGGGTCATATAAAGATATAACAATCTTCCTACAAGCCTCTGAAATTGTTTCACATCCTTGATGAATTCACCTTGGCAGTCACCTAATTTGTGATTAGGATAAATAGGAGAATCAATAGGTTTCACTCCCAATTTTCCTATATCCTAGAGCAGATCTAGGACATACTTTCTCTGGGAAATGAAGATACCCTTTTGTGAGCGGGGCAGCTTCAATTCCAAGGAAGTACCTTAAGGACCTAGATATTTCACCTCAAATTGGGTAGCAAGAAATCTCTTCAACTTTTGAAATTCATCTTTCCAATCACAAGTGATAACTATATCATCAACATATACGATCAGGGCTGCAATTTTTCCTTCCCCTCTTTTCACAAATATTGTGTGACCAGATTGACATTGCTTGTATCCTCTTTGCTGAACAACTACATGAAACTTGCTGAACCAGGCTCTCTGTGATTGTTTCAGGCCATGTAATGATTTTTTTAACCTGCACACTTTTTATTCATTACCTTGAGCTCGGAAACCAAGGGGTTGTACCATGACCAGGCTCTCTGTGATTGTTTCAGGCCATGTAATGATTTTTTTAACCTGCACACTTTTTATTCATTACATTGAGCTCGGAAACCAAGGGGTTGTACCATGTAAACTTCTTCTTCAAAGTCACCATTTAGAAAAGCATTCTTGTTATCTACTTGATGAAGGTCCCAATCAAGATTAGCAGCTAAAGAGAAAAGGACTCTAATGGAGTTCATCTCAGCAAAGTGTGCAAAAGTTTCTGCATAATCCACTCTATACACTTGTGTAAACCCTTTTTCCACTAAACGAGCTTTATACCGCTCTATTGTGCCATCAACCCTATGTTTTTCTGTGAAAACCCATTTACATCCAACTGGTTCCTTCCCCTCAAGAAGATCTACCAATTCCCATGTGCCATTTTTATGCAAAGCATTAATTTCTTCTTTCATAGCATCTCTCCATTCAGGCACCAATAGAGCTTTTGCCACATTCTTAGGAATAGGAACACTGTCAATGGAAGAAAGAAAGGCCCGAAAGGAAGGTGAAATGTTCTCATAGGAAACAAAATGGGAAATGGGATGTTTAATGGTGCAAGACCTAACACCTTTCTGGTGAGCAATAGGAAGGTCAAGGTCATCGACAATAGAGGTATCAATAGCAATAGGGTCAGGAATATCAATGGGAACCAAGTTACTTGGTTGGGTAGGATCCACCCACAGAGAGTTTGATGGCATTGGTGGTACAGGCTATACAACAGTTAGGTGTTCCACAACTCTTGAACATGGCTGGCCTTTGTGACGACGAAAGAAAACACGAAAGGGAGGAGGATCAGGAAGAGGAGTGAGCTGATCCGGTTTTTCCTAATTCTTGAACTCCCCCTGAGGAGAAATAGGGAAGAAATGCTTACTTTCAAAGAAAGAGACATCAATAGAAATGATGCTGCACAATCTGGGCACTCCTAACTGGCTGTGACTTGGCTTCTAGCTCGGACGGGCGGCACTTGAGAGGAAGAAGAAGGTGAAGGATTCCCGGGGAGCTCTCCTGGTGGGAACACTTCGATGGCTAAGTTAGAACTGGAGAAATCTCAAAGGAAGAACAGAGAGTAAGAGTACTGAAAGTGCTTAAGCTTTAATACCTTTGCTTTGTGAGGGTCGGGGTCCTTTTATACCAGAGCTCGGTCACATCAGGCGTAACCGTCACTGCCCTAGCCGTTACTGACTGGGCAGAGGTGGCAAGTGCAGGCTGCCGCCACAGGCTGCTACTGCAAGGCACGGACGTCAGGCGGGCCATGCCTTTCAAAGACGGCAGGCAGAATGCCGCCTGGCAAGGGATCCGAGCACTGCCACCAGATCTGGCAGGTACGGATGTCAGGCAGATCTCCCTGCAGTCTGCCGAGCTACCGTGCACCGAACCACCTGGGGCAGGTTTGCCTTGCACAGAGGCACCGAGGTGCTCGTATTGGAGGCGAGCCTTGAGCAAGTACGAGCATGAGTCTTTATGGTGCTGTCCCGAGGTGTTTCTCCCTCAAGACACTTAGCCAAAGGTTGGGGTGCTTCCTTCTTAGGAAGGGAGAGCTCGGAATCCCTTAAGAGGACCTTGGGTCCCACGAGGAGCTCGGGTCCCAGGAGGAGCTCGGGCCCCATGAGGAGCTCGGGGGCTCCATCCTCAGTTTTGGGGCGAGCGGGGCCTGGATTCTCGACGAGTTGTCACACCCGACGAGTTGTTTGACCGGGCCTCGGCGAGCTTGCTGCGCCGAGTAGTGGCCAGGCTGTCATGTTGAGTTGTCACTTATACCAGGTCATGTCCATGTGTCCCCGTGCTACGAGGTCGGGCCAAATCACCCTACATCAATTGCCCCCCACTCCCCGTGCTAGGGGTGTTGACCTAGTGTGGGGAGTCCACAGTCTGTCGGGTGGATTTAGCTCGGAGTCCAAACTTTCTCGTCTAGCAGCTCATAGGTTGGACCGGTCTTCTGCCCGGTTCTACCAGGCGCAGCTCGGGTCGCGTACGGTCTACGCGCGGATGTCACGCGACTTATAGGCTCCGCGGATGTCAAAAAACGCGCTAACTGATTTCGCCTTGAAGGTCGCACAACCGGTTTTCATGAGAGCCGTCAGATTGCTTCGATCTCAACCGTTGATGCCCATAGATAGTGGCTATAAATAGTGGGGGTCCTGGTCATTTTCCTTTGCCACAAACATTCAGCTATAGTCTTGAGCTCGCGTCCAAAGCCTTCAGCTCGGGTTAGTTCCTTTCCAGTCCGGTCTTATTTTTCTTTGGTGAGTCACCCTAGCTCTTCCTTAGTTTCAATTATGTCTTCTTTTGATAGCCTTTTAAATGAGCCCGAGGTGCCCGAGGTGGGTACCTCGGCTTAGGGTAACCCTACCGAAGTCCAGTCTCTCGAGGCGTGGGAGGCCTCGGGTCACTAGGCATCCACCTCTCACCGAGTTCGGGCCAGATAGGTTCGGGCCCTCCACCATGACCTTGGAGAGGCTCCGCCAAGTCATTCGGCAATATAACTTGCCAAGGGAGTACACCTACAGTTTACCTGCGGGGAACTTCCCGTGAGAGCACGACCCTGATAAGGTCGTGATTTTCCGAGAGCAGCTCATAGCTGGGCTGCGCCTTCCCTTCCACCCACTCTTAGTGGAGGTCCTAAAATACTTCAACGTTATGATAAACCAGCTTCACCCGAACTCGGTTCGTAATGTGGTTGGGACCATCTCTCTTTGTTATGAGTATGTCATGCCCCTTAACTTGGACATACTCTGCTCCATCCTCACCATCAAGAAGAGCGCTTCATGTGTTCTCCCTGAGCACAGGAGGGCTTACTACTTGTCCCCCCGCCTGGGCTTTAAGCTAATGCACAAGCTTCCTAGTAAGGTCCCAGCCTGGAAGCAGGACTACTTCGTAGTTCGGAATCATGCGGGGTGGCCCTTCCCTACTCACTGGAGGGTGGCTATCCAAGACCCTGGCGTCATACTCGACAGGAAGACCAGGGAGGCATTCCAGTCGTGTGCTGAGGTTGGCTGCGATTTCAAAGATTATATCAAAGAGGGTATGCTTTTCCAGGCTGGCTTGAGCCCGGGTAGGTAGTTAGTACCTTAGTTGTTTGGTCTGCTCTTCTTTTCCTTATTTTACTCGAGTACTAATGCCGAAGTCTCTTTTGCAGGTCTTATGGAGGCAGACAAACTCAAGGGAGACCAGCTCTTTAAGCATATGAAGGGGAGGAAGAAGCGGGCTGCCAAGAGA